AGCAATCATTCATTTTTTGTGTGGCTTTTTTCACGGTTTGTTAACATGCTGTGTAGGTGTGTACTGGACTAGCTGATATCGACATAACAGGGAAACATCTGGTTTGACTATTCTTCACCTGTAGTTTGAATGCTGAACATTTGCCTGTTTTGATCATGAGACCAGTCACTATACAGAGATGTGCTTCTGAATGTGGACGATGTGTCTTCTGCTGCAGTGATGCAGTTCTGCTTGTGTTGAGTGATGTAAACAACTGATCGATCTAAACTCTTTAAACGTCAAAGTTGATCATTAGATTTTTTATGACACAGCAGTGGTGAGTGTTCCCACCTTCTGCTCTTTGTAACTTCACACAATCTTTCCGTTTTCGAGTTTTGGACATGATTTTGGAGTATATCTTTGCAGTAGCGATTGACCGCAAAGTAAAGCTACCGGAAATGCACAACCCCACATCCGGTCTCAAACCAGGAAGTTAGCATTGTTTTTGTTTTTTTTGTTTGTTTTTAATACGTTTTATTGACAAAGCACAAAATACAGATATACAAATACAAAATAGCAAACACAATGTCAGGGGGTTCGTATAAAAAAGCAAAATAGACAGTCAATTATAGAATCACATGATATTGAACAGGGAACATAGGTTTTGACAGCTTTTTGATTTTGAGAATGTTGTATGGTTTTAACATATTGTTTGGTTTCATTTAAAAAGTACCAAAAGGATGGTTTTGCGTTAGAAAATTTCGACTTATGTATATGAAATTTAGCCAATAATATCAATAAATTAATCAAATAAAATTTGTTTGCCCTGTGCATGGGGTACTTAAAGAAACCGAACAATATTTTCTCGTAACAAAGAGAGAACTCAGAAAAGATAAAGGAAACAACAAAAACACAAAATTCAGGAAGTTAGCATTGTCTCGTGCACATAGTCAATTCTCAAAGCATATGCACCGCAGCATCAGCTACCATTTGGAATTTTATTCCTCACTACACTTTCTCTAAGTTTGGTGGTCTAAGTTTTATCTTAGGTTGTGATTATAATATAGATAAGCTTCCAGAAAAGCTATCGATGTTTCACAAACAAGTTCTATTAGCTTGTCCCTTATATATAAACACAACTTTACACCCCATACGTATTCAATTTGAAATAATAGGAACATAGTGTATAAAAATAAATCCTTATTTTTTTCTAGGTGGGTTGAGAAACGGATTGTTTTAGTGAATCAGCTGTTTAATCTTAATGGGCAGGTTATGTCCTATTCAGAATTCTTAAACACCTATAAATTTCCAGCCACACCCAAAGAATATGCCATATTATTTGATGCAATACCTACGGGTATTATAATGCTTTTTA